CACAAAACATCGTCATATGAGAGATCCAATGCTATGACTCTCTTCAGGTTGTTATCTTTGTAGTGTTTGTGTTTTTTATCAAAAAGCTGATTGTTTTTTATTGTAAACAATCAGCTGGTCGGCCATGTTTGATATACCAGTAAATCAGACATTGCAACAACACGCAATCTGATTGGTTAGAAGTGGACACACACAGTATGCAAAACTTTAGAAAAATTTACCTTGAAACGAAAAAAAAAATGCCGCAATATCGCAGGATGGGAAAACGTCGCTGTTGTGAACACTTGACAGGATACGGGTTCGAGAAAAAATTTTGTCGTCCGAAAAAATTGCATGAAAAAAAACACTCCTGGTGGAAAAGGATCATGAGTCCTGCAGTTTAAATAAATGAATAAAGTGGATCTGATTAACCTGATCTAGATGAGACTGAATCCAGATCACCAGTGCTCTAAAGAGGAGTGCATACTTTGTCTGCACAGGGTTCCAAAATCCACACAAAATTAAAGATCCTACGTTTGATATTGACAACCTTTTTGAAAACAATCTTTCACCGATAGTAAGTTTGAATCCAACGAGATTTCTCCTGAACAGCAGGACCCTGGGTGACAGGGGCTGGGGTTATTGAGAGTACAGTCCCTTTATGTTACCCATCATTCCTTGAACTCACATCTTGAAATCAGCATAAATCAGCTGTTTTTGAGCGAAGACTGAAGGAAAAGTCGTCCTATAAGTGACAGCTATAGAGGAAACCAGCTATGTGCTCAAAGGGACCGTTCAGTTAACAGACTCCAAATAAAAAATGAAATAAGCCCTAAAATTAGTTCTTTGAGATTTATTAATACCCCAGTGCGGGGAATATTTTGGGCCCCGAGAGTCCTGCTTGAGGCGTTCTGGAGAACTACTCATCTGATCGACTTCAAACTCAACACTGTACTCCCTCGGGTCCTCAGCAATACACTCGCCAAGAGTGAAGATGAGGCAATGAATTGCTCTCTAGATATCTGAAGTACAGTCAGCTCTTCAAACAGAGCCCGCATGCAGATATACAGACGGAGTTTCCTGTCTTAATGAATGACTGGTAGAGGAACAGCCCCAAAACGTCACCGCTTTTTATAGTTGGGAATACACCACGGCCTAATATTTCCATCAAATAGGATTCAAAGGAAGAAGATACACAAAGTTATTCCTTTATTTTATTGTAAAAATTGAAAACTGTACTTGATAAATTTTGTTTCTTCAACTTTTGATTCAGAAGATTCGGGTCAAATCGAAGGTTAAGTTTCATATCCTCTGCACTGCATTAGGTCTCCTCTTAAATGAACAGTTCCAGATAAATGGGTTTCATAAAGTTGGACCATTATGTGCACTTGTTATTGTCCAAATGGCATAAAGCGTACCTTTTTTGGTTGCTTCAACATCTCATCCTTGCAGGTCCTACTAAAGTGGTTCAAGTTGCACCAAGAATTATATCATACAAGTTTTTAGAGATAGGTAAAGCAGAAATATATGGATAAAACAAAACAGTTGACAGCAACTAAACTTTGACCAACTGGAATTTGTTAATAAAGACGTAAATAAAGAGAAAAATAATAAGACGCAAGGTTCAAAAGTTACAGGCCAAACTCTAAAACTTGTTTCTGTCACCAAGAGAGAGGTGTGATAAAGTTGGTGGTAGTTGCTCAGTATTTGTTGGAGAAAGAGTAACAAAAACATAGTTCAGAAAGTCAAACCTTAACAATCCCAATATGTGTCTGAAATTCTGTAGACCTGAATATGAAGTTTATTAAAAAAAAGCCCCAAAATTGCACCAAATTAATGCTTAGCTCCCCCAGGTTTCAAGCATTCATCTGTTTCTCTAAGACTTTAAAGTTTCCAACAAGTCCAAAGACAGTGAGACAGAGATTTCTTTGTTTGAAGATGCATAAAGATTAGTATAAGAAAAAAAACACGAAGATCATAAGCTTGAATAAAAGCGAAAACAAAACGCACAGACAGACGATCAAACAAAGTGACGTTTGAACATCTTGTGAGAGTCGGTTGGATTTCTCGTGCAGTCATTCCTAAAGCCAAATCCAAAAACAGTTTTGATGGATTGTTAAATATCAGTAGAGAGAAAGCAGAGTGCACAAACATCAAAATCAAGCGCATGTTTGCAGCGTCGACAGAGTGAGTGAGTCATGGATGAAATGAAGATAGCAGAAATAAATCATTGCAGCAGTAAGCTGTTTATTTATTGATGGAGGCTTTCTTCTCTAACCTACATCAAAGAGAGAGTGACACACGAGGTGTGTGTGAATGGAAGAGAAACTCAACCAGCGCCTGTGTGTGTGTGTGTTTATGATGTGTGTTCTCTGACAGCCAAATCAGGTCATTAAAATAGGATCAAAGTGGCATGGCACCAGATCACACCCAGAAAAACTTTTAATGCAGACCTCTCTCCTGTCAAATGTGACAACACAGCACAACTAGTCAGAAACTTGTCAGTTATGAACGAGAGAATGAAGAAAGAATGGGTTAAAACAGACGTCTGACACACAGAAAAGAAGCTGTAACCCAGGCCTCCAGAAAATCTGTTTCAATATAATTTGATTGTCTTGTAAATAATTGAAAACAATGTCTTTGATTCACTTCAGAGCTGTGGTAGGACAAATTGCAGGACTGTCATCAAAGTCCAGTTTACAGTCCTGCGGAGGGGGAGGGATCCAAAGGTAGCATAGGATAAGATATGATACGATGTGATACGATGAATATGATGATGATGATGATGGTATGATATGAGACAGCAACATCGCATATATTATGATTTGAAACGTTGCCTTATGTGACATGAACAGATGCAGAAAAAGAGACCGCCCTTGATATAATATTTACCAGTGTTTCCAGACATGTAGGGCTGTGGAGCTGTTGAAACATTTAACTGTTGTTTTTGTCGTAATAATGCCCATGTTATGCAGTAAATATTTTGTGAGGCACAAAAATACTTTGTTTTCACTGTTATTTCCTCGTTTATTTTCGTGTATGACGACAGTACAAACAGCAGAGTCCACTCTATCTCTCAGTGCAGTGAACATTTTCTTTAAACTTCATCCTGACCAGATTAACGCCCTTAGGTGCTGCGTGGTGAGGTCTCAGCTGCACCTATTACACCCTGGCTGAGTTTTTAATTTGCCTTCTGTCGTTACCACAGCAACTTTTTACTGACTTAAGGTCCTTACACATCAGGAACGACGCAAATATGCAACGCAAAATTACGAAATATTCAGAGGTGAATTTTGATGCGCCTGACTATACACATCAAGCGTGATGTGATTTTGCAACTTTCCAGGGGGGAAAAAGGCACACACGGGTGGAAGCGAGAAGACTGACACAACAGCAGACTGACTGTTTTTCAGTTCTGATTAGACTCTAGTGTTGAGATGTCTGTCTGTCATGATAGCATGTACTGAGTCGGGGCCAGTACCAGATAAGCACATTGAACTATAATCCATAAACGTAAGGTAACAACCAAGACCTAATGGTGCTGTGACAGCAACGTAATTGAGTTTGAGACAGTGAAAATACATATGGTATGTTGTATCTGAACAGGTTAGCTTACGAGCTAAAGTTACTTAGCACAGATGAAAGTTAAAACAAAGACGTTTAGCAAACTGTTAAAGAACACAAACCATCGTCATATGAGAAATCCGACGCTATAAGTCTCCACAAGTTGTCCTTCAAGTCGTGTTCTTCGTAATATTTGTGTTTTTAATCAAAAAGCACTCTGTTCTCCGACACGTAAACAATCAGCCGGTCGGCCATGTTGGATATACCAGTGAATCTGATGTCGCAACAACACGAAATCTGTTTGATCATAAGTGGACACACAGTATGTGAAACTTAAAAAAAATCGACCGTGAAACGAAAAAATAAATGCCGCAATATCGCAGGACGGGAAAATGCGCTGATGTGAACGCTTGTATTGACAGGATACAGGTTAAAAAAAAAATAATGACGTCCGAAACAATCGCACGAAAAAAATGCTCCCGGTGTGAAAGGACCTTTAATCTGGGACAGAGTTTGAAGTAGATTCTCATTCATCCAGGTCATGGTTACTCTTGAAATCTCCAAAATCTGGCAACTTCTCAACTCTACACAGTCCAGTTGCCGAATTTTGGAGATTTCAAGAAAAAGACAGAGGTTGAAGTTTGGCTAAGTTTCCTCTCTCAAATCAGGGCAGAGTCCACTTTTTGTCTGGGGTTGCACAGCTGGAGCACTGACATAGGCAGGGGTGGCGAGGGTACCTTTGCACACATGGATTATCAGCATTTACCCCCTCTCCTTTACTATCATCAAAGCTCCAGAACAAAAAGAAAAATCTGTTATAACATTCAAAAAGATACTCGAACAGACAGTTTTCTCAAATTTTAATGAATAAAAGAAAAAGAGGAATGATGCTGCAGCAGCAAACCTTGTACAGAGTGAAAGAAAGTTGTTCTACAGTAAGAGGATATTAAGAGACACTCAGTTTGAAAGCAAATTCATAAAACTAATATTTCAAATGCGAATAAATCTGCCTGTGTGTTAGTGAGGATTATTAAAAGGCCTGATTCTTGGCTGAGTTTAGTGAGCCAGAATCAGCTGAAACCATCAAACACAAAGCACACAGTTTATGTGTGGATGCAACTGACACATCCAAGATTAACTAAATGAATCAGTCCCAAAAAAAGAACAACATGGGAGTAGAAATTGCTCCCCGGCCAAGTGTGGATGCCCAAATGGATTCATTCTTCGAAAGATTTGGCAGTGATATGATACAGAAAGCCTTGCAGAGAATAATTTTAAAATACTGTTGCACAAAACCATTTCTGTTGTTAAGGAAGTCTGAAGAAGACTCAGGATATGTGAATGGAGACGTGGCTATGAATGCATGCGTGTTAGGGCCACTGCATAGTTGTTTCAAACAGATCTCATTTCATCTCTGTTTGTTTTTGATGTTTGTCCCACGAGATTGGTCTCTCTCTCTAGTTTCCTTTGCCCTTTCTCTTCTTTCCTGGAACAAAAAAAATTAGAAATAAAGGAGTAAACATTGCTCAGAGCGTCAATTCAAAACACATTTGAAAGAAAGTTCAGATGAGGAGTTCATCTGGTCCAAAGTTTGGATACTGGTGAGACTAGAAAGCAAAAAAAAAACACCAAAAAACTGAAAAGTGTATAGTTCTTTCTCTTTTTATCAACTTAAAAGGCATGAATATGATTTTTTTTGGAGAGGTTGTGAGTTGTTTTGCAGTAGAGGAACATTTTCAGGGTTACTGATCCTCTTAAGGCTTCATGATAATGGCAGAGGATTAACTTGGTAAAAAGTTATGTGAAATTGGAATATTTCTGGCTTGTTACTGCTGCTCGAGGAAAGGTGAAGGTTTCATCAAAATGATAGTGATTGTTTTTTTTTCAAGGACAGTGAATATTCATGCAAATGTCAGACCAATCCAGCCTGTAATTTCGATAATATTTAAAGGGGACCTGCCACCAAAATTTCATACCCATTTTTTCATAATCCTTGATGTCCTCTGATCATGTTTGCAACATAATTTTAGCTGAAAAGTTATTTGATGGTTTGTGTTAGTATGCCTAAAAAACCTTACAGGAAAACCAACTGATTTTGGCTCATTAACAATTATGGTAATGAGCTTTGCTCTGATTGGCTCGCTGCTGTGAAGCCTGCTGTGCTCTGATTGGCTCAGCAGTGGAGGTTCGGATTTCGGTTTATCCATTCTGCTAATGTGTGCTAAAGTACGGTGCCCAGGTGTCTGTAATGATATCCGGGGATATTCGGTGCGGCGGCGGGGAGGGAGCAGGGGCTACAGGGGCTGTGTGATCACAGACAAAGTCTCGGTACTGTTTAGTAGCAGCGCATGCCCCTTGTAATAACCCCCATAAGAACTGTTGTTCAGGACTGCTAACTTGTGCTTCCTACCCATTCGGCTACTGTAATAACCGTTGTTCGAGCCCACACGCAACATTTTTGCTCTCATTCATGAAACGCTTAAATCGGGGACATTTTCGGGGACAGCTATTGCCGGGGACAGGTCATCCAATACGGGGACTGTCCCCGGAAATCAGGGACGGCTGGTCACCTTATGCTAAACGCTAAAAATGGCAGATATTAAATTATATATTTTAGACCCCGAGTCTGAAGAGGAGGTGGAAGTTGAAGAAGAAGCCGGAGATCTCCAGCGGTGTTTTCTCATTCATTCTGCCCAGCTTTAAGATCATTTTCCCGGCAGTGAACCCAAGGAAACACCGGTCGTTTGGAAGAGACCCATAGTGGCTACAGTGGTAGCTGGGTCTCGATCTGGCTGTGACTGTGAGTATGAGAACGAGAGAGTGGGTGCGGCTCACCGAGGACGCGCTCGTGAATAATAATGAGCAAGGTCAGCATGATGTCAGGAGGACCTGCTTTTTCAATTGTCCTGGTTTACCTGTTCCTTTATTTTAAACCTTTACAGAATGCAAACGACGTAACGGTTTGTTTTCACATTTACAACATAAGACGAACATAATATGGACCTTATCTGACACAAAAACACACAAAATTACATTTTTGATGGCAGTTCCCCATTAATAACTCTTGAAGTCCTTTGAGGAAATAAAACTATATCAGACTGTTTTGTTGACTGTTTTTTACAATTATAGTCCAGCATATGCTTATTTCACTTCTGAAATCTGGGAATTTGTCCATTTTTCAGTCACTGTAAGGGTAAACTTTGGTTGGTTCCTCTTTATTGAGAAGGTGAGCATGTCGGTCTAACCTTTGTTTTTTGTCTTGGTTTTTCCAGGGCAGGGTTTGGAGACAGTGATGGTCTGCTGGCACTCGGCATTAAACAGAGCCTTCTTCAGGGTCCCTGTTCTGGTCCGCAGGTCAGTCCCTGGATCACACTCCCCCCAGCTACCAAACCGGTACTTACAGTCAGCTAGTTAAGAGAGAAACAGAAAACCAACTGAGAGGAAGTGATTTCAGACAAAAAGCGTGCAGCAGTCTGCTCCGCTAGCTAAACACAGGCTCTCTTTTTAGACTTGCTGCTAAGTTTAGAATCTTTAAACACAGTCCAGCCTTAACAACATATCCACAGCCTGATTCACAAATACAATTACACTGCTTTTGTGTCTGCTAAAACCTTCTCTAATGAGGAACAACTGCCTGATTCACAAAGTGCATGCAAAGAGAAAATAACGTCATTGTGTGCTGTTTGCACATTTGATCTTCTTTTTTTGCCTAAAGTGGTCCCTTTCTCTGTTAATGAAGCTCCATCTAATGCTCAACCACCAGAACCAACAGTTCAGAGTGAAATTTGACCATCTGCACAAAGCTGGTGGTAACTCTGGCAAAGTATTTACAGGGAGTGTTAACCTTAAACTCTACAGAGATCATTACAGATCCAGATTTATTTGACTGAACAACAAATCGTCTGAAAACTCAGTCTGTGAATATTATTTCTTTTAAATATTCAAGAGCTGAAGTGCTCCCAGGACAACTCCTGGCACATTCTCTCCACATGCTGCTCTCTAAGCTGGGTTGTCAATGTTATCATAGAATGTTTCATGTCAGTCATTAACAGTCATCACAATAATTGTATAATCCTTAAATGTAGGCTGAATTTCGATGAACATATGGTTCATTATGTAAAATATTCCTCAGCTAGACCAGATCTGACATGTTTGGACCACCAGTGTCCGGCTGATTAAGAAAACTGTCTCAGTCCACTGCAAGAAAAAAAAAGGGGGAAAAACCAACAATACAAGAACCAACCTGCAAAATGTAATGAAACCTGTCCTAAACTTTGGAGCATAGTGTTTCAAACAGTTAATTTCAAGTTCTTGCTGCAAGAGACGACAGTGTAAAAACAATTAAAACCCAACATTACAACATGTGCAAACAATTTGCATCCCCCACGGCTCCACAGAGTTCATTTCTGCAGGGCTACTTCACTGGATTGCATCATTATGTTGCAGGTGCTTGTGTTGTTGTCTCAGGCACCTCTTCAGACTGTGGAGTTATTCAGAGTCAGAGGATCGTGTCATGAGAGCCGAAGAAAAGCTTTACATTCAGTGCACTGGGTGTAGCTGCACATTACTCTCATCGTCTCACCTGCTCTGACTCCATCTCTCAAATCTGAAACTTTCACACTCCAGTGGAGCTGTACGGATATCTGTGTGCGTTCATGTGTGTGTTCACGTGTGTGCCGGGACGTTACCTCCAAAGTCCTTTTTCCAGTTGCATGGTACTTTACATTTCATCTTCTTGGTCTGCTGGTCACATGACCCCTCTCTAAACCCCGCTCCACAGTCCCCGTTGCTAGGGACACAGTTGCCATAGCGCCAGTCGGTGCATTCTGACCCGGACGGGGAGGGTTTGCTTCTCTCTGTGGACAGAAAAAAATATTTATGTACCTGTTATTTCAGACACACATGCTTTCAGTATTTTGTAAACATGAAAAATCACCTCTGAGCCACCCAGTCCGACCAGTCTGCAGGTGACAGCTGCTCACTGGGAGCTGTCTTTCTGAAGCTAATTAAGCACTCAGACTCTCGAACCAATTCACCTGAGCAGCTTTTACTGCAGCCAGGTGCAAATATGAAACTCGGCACCCATACAAGTCATAATTAGTTTTTATGGTGTTTATCCATGCACAATCACTCTAATTTTTTTTTTTTTTTATCAGCGTGTTTATTGTTGTCATGTTTACGAGAGCAAAACATTTAAAGGGCTCTTTAAACTTTATCGCCCCCCACAGCCTCTTACTTATAACAAAAGGTGTGTTGATACAAAGAAGAAGAAACATGCAAGGATAAAAATATGAGTCTGAATGTGGGTATATTTCAGCACAGTGTGCATATCTCCTCACACGACAGGAGAAAGAACTTAAAAAAGAGAAAATAACCAGGTTATATCAGTGGTAAATTTGGGGTTATTTCAGGCCAAAAACGAGCTCAACTGTCTGTTATTAATCATCCAGCGTGTCTCCCCTCATGGGTATTTCACTCAAGTTGCTGCGCTCTGGAAACAGGTCTAATAGTTTCCTGCTTTTTTAATTGAAGCTTTAAATTTAATTGGGCTCTCACTGGACAATCATTTTATTGATGTAGGCTACTGAGAAGTGTCAGGTCTATTAAAAGTACAGTGTGTGTAGAAACAGGAATATTGGAAAGGCTCCGTTGCTCATCCCTCCCATCTATGAAGCAACAGTGACCTTTGAGGATAAGAAGCTCCTGTAATCCATAATTAGTACGATCTTTCATTTGTCATGTTTTTAGACCAACAATCATCCTCTTCTTCTTTATCTTCATCCTGCAGCCACTCACTAACTACATAAACATGAATTTTACAAGTTTGTCTATTCTGTGCTTCTGTAGAAATCCAGGCTAATTTGGTGTTTACAAAAATAAAACTGTACTGTACACACTGTACCTTTTTAAATGTGAATAAATAGTAAATATGTAAATGCAAAACCCAATTCTATTGAAGTTGGGGAATTGTGCTTAACTTAGATAAAAACAGAATACAATGATTTGCAAATCATTTTCAACCTATATTCAATTGAATACACTACAAAGACAAGATATTTAATGTTCAAACTCATAAACTTTATTGTTTATTGCAAATAATTAACCTTAGAATTTGGTGGCTGCAACACATGACAAAGAAGTTGGGAAAGGTGGCAAAAAATACTGAGAAATTTGAGGAATGCTCATCAAACACCTATTTGGAACATCCCACAGGTGAGCAGGCTCATTGGGAACGGTTGGTGCCATGATCGGGTATAAAAGCAGCTTCCCCAAAAATTCTCAGTCATTCACAAGCAAGGATGAGGCGAGGTTCACCACTTTGTGAACAACTGCGTGAGCAATAGGTCGACCAGTTTAAGAACAACATTTCTCAAAGTACAATTGCAAGGAATTTGCTGATCAAAGTTTTTAGAACAAAGTAATTCAATAGAAATAATAAATTCTACAAAAACCATGACCAGAGAGAGAAAATTAGTTGAACTCCAGTTGCATTGGTAGGGTGTAAAAATCCTCAACACTTAAATGACATCCAAAACACTGACAAAGAAATAGGGACATAGAGGAAGAGAAAAAGTTGGTTAATAAATAAACAAGTTCATAAATTAAAGTAAAATTAACAGGAATCAAGGGTGAACTGTTCTGACATGTAGCCAATCTGTGTATGGGATACTTCTTTGGCGCTGTAGCTTAGTCGGTTAAAGCACCTGGCTACTTAACAGGAGATCTTGGGTTCAATTCCCAGCGGTGCCTTCTCAACAGATAGCATGTGTCATATCCTCACATTCTGCACACAGTGACATGGGGAATGTCATCCATTCATCCAGGACGAGATCACCAATTGCAATACAATCACTGCCTTTTCACTGATTCATTTCTGTCCTGCTTGAAAATCGGAAAATCGTCCAATTCTGTCTGCTCAGATGTCAAGCTTTCACGAACCAAAGGCTTTGTTCTAGGAATAAATGTGTTTTAACTCTATACTTATTAAAACATAATAACTGCATCAGGAGCAGTAAAACCTGGACTAATAATTCCCCTTTTTTAATAACCCCCAAAAAGCCTATTTATTCACACTATCAGATCTTTTGTGTTTGAGATGGAATACACAAAATGCCTGCATTAGTTTACAGCACAGCATTAAAATCCAAGTCAACCAAATGTAGAAAAGCATAAAATCCGAGAGATGAATGTGGAAGAACACCATGACACTGCAAATGCTATAACTAAGCAGCACAGAGAAAATGTTGCAAAGTTTTTGTACAGATACCGAAGTAGATAGATGATTAGTGACATAGCTGGAGACAAAAACGTTAGATTGTGAGTTTTATTGATTTCTTTTAAAGAAGCGATGGTGCTTCATTGAGCAAAGCATGCTGGACACATGGCAAAGCGAACCAAGTTAAGCCATGTATCCACAGGCCGAGCTCCATCACCATGCTGGTAGTAAGCAGGACTGCACCAAAAAGAGCTGCCCAGTTGCATTAAAAGTGCTCATTGTGGATATACTGAGCACCCTGAAATTGACCCCAAAAAAAACAGACTGTGACATATACGCCAGCGTGAGTCATTTTTCGGACTCCACAATCACTTAAAAGAGGCCCAGTATTAACCTGCTTGTTATATATGCGGCATAAAACAACCACTGTATTGATTTATGACTGTTAAAAAACAAAGTTGACTTGATCTGACTTGACAGGAGAAACTCCGAAAGCAAAAGGATGGGAAGGGAAGAAGAGAAATTCTCACCTTTCTTGTTTTTCCCTCCAGCTTCAGAGACAGTGAGAGTGACTAACAGCAGCAGCAACAGCACAAGTGCAGCCCTCATCCTACAAAGACAAAGAAAATATCCACATTAAACGTTCTCACATACATGACAACAACTAAACCATTAAGTGTTGACCCTGAGCCCGGAGAGAGAGCCTGGGGAATCATTATCTGCTGCTCTCAACACCATCAAATAGGGTTTCTGTGAGTGCTGACTGCTGCATTACTGAGATAATAGGCCATGATTTTTATTTCATGTAGGTTTAAAGTCCAGCACATCAAAAAACACAGAATTTCTAGGTACGATACGATACACACAATATGATTTGTTGTTCTTGAGTGCTTCACATATGAAACTTCCTCCCTATTTGAATAAACATCATATGCACAGTGTTAGAAAGACAGAAAACTCAAGTAATTGCAAAGATGTCTCATCAGTCTTTGTTTTTTTTAGTCAGTAACACACAGTGTGAGCTGCTTGAGCTGATTTTTCACACGCCAACCAGGCTGCAATTATGCACTGCTGCTCTAATAACCTGTCCAGGGACTCTACAGTAAAGCACCACAGCATTTTCCCTTGAGAACACACCCTCCAGCCTCTCCAGGATCAACTGAAGCAGCAAGAGGGATAAAAAAATATTTATGGCTGTAAAGCTGAAAGTATGAAGACCTTGGTTTAGATCAGATACTCTGGAGGAAGGTTTTTAAAAAGATGTAACTGATGTGAAGAGATAAACCATTTTGTGCTAAAACAAACAAAACAAAACAAAAAACATAAAAATAACAGTGATCAGTGTTAACCTCATACTGCAGACTCTTGTGCTCAGGTTGAAGGTGAAAGGTCACAGTCACTATGTGAACAACAGTGACAGTCTCTCAGGTCGGGGGTTAATTGCAGTCAGCTGCAGGTCCTTCCTTATGGAGAACTGAACTTCAGCTGACCCCCAATGTCAGTAGATTCACACAACAGATCATGTCTATAAGCATGCAGGTCATGTAGAGTATGGGGCTGATCATACCTGACTGGTTATGTAAGAGATGAGTATGGAGTGGAGAGAAATGTGCAGAGTCTGTTTTCACATGTTTGTACACCATCATTGTGGTGACAGTATTAGACATGACAGTATTAGTGATCAGTAGTTAATGAGACTGATGACCATTATTTGAAACTGAAAATTAGAAAACCTGACAGAATTTAGAGTTTGGAAAATTACAAACTACAAACACAAACAGGTAAAAAGTACAATAAAACTAAATCGTCTTGTGTCTTTCTAATCTTGATAATGTTAAAGGGTGAATTATAAGGTGAGATGAAGAAGTTTAAGAAAACAGACTCAGAGGGAAAGACACAACAGAAGCAGAGCTAATATAGTGCACTATCTATAAGTTAATTTTACAGGCCACCAGTAAATAAAAGGCAATACTGATAATCAGCCAATTGCAAAATATCGGCCCTGATAGACTGCCAATTTTTCTGAAACTTAAAACCAACCAAAAAGTTTTGATTCTTAAAGCTGACTAAACTGTCTCAGTTTTATGTCAACCACTTGTGTATTACTGTTTTGTGTCAAAAAGCCGTGAAATTTTCCACGGCAAACTTTATTTTGAAATTTAGATATCACCAACATCTGACTAGATGTGGCTTTTTCTGCTGCTAGCTAGATTTTTAGAGCCCTTTCAATGCAAAACAAATATAAAAGGACCACCTACTGAGGTGTAGTTTACCTAAGTTAGAGATAGAGGCAAGTTTTATATGACTTGGTGGTTTATACTTGTGACTGTATTGCTAGCTTAGCAAGGTATTGAATCATACCATCTGCATATTAATGTGGTGAGTGTTAAGCTGAGTTAAAGCCTTACCCTCCAGGCTGACATTACCTTATTTGTCTGTTTAAACCAAATGTGCATTTTTAGAGGTATTACACATGGATTGCATGGGTGTAATTTTTGTTGTATCATCACTGATTTTATTTTCATTGAAAAGATGGTGCTCTGGATGTTTTTAAATACTTTCAATACCGCAGCTAGATCCAGGTGTTCACCATTTAAACCACAACAGAGAAACAAGTCAGAGGACAAGAGATAAATAACTGCATATTACCACCAGGAAAACAACAACACTTTGACTTTATTTTTATTTTTAGAGCTGCCCAACACTTTGCTTCTGTTTGAGTGCAGATAACATAAAGCTATGATGGACCGAGTGCTACAGTTAGTTTCACCTCGCCAGCATTTCCAGGCTTAGTTGGTAAAAAAATCAGCTGAGCTGGTTTGTTTTTTATGAGACTTTTCCACATATATGCTAATTTTACTTCCAGCTGGTGGCTTGATACAACAAATACAAGTTTTTCTTCAAATCTCTGCGCAAAAGAAGGCCAACAAAGAAAGCATTCAGCTGTGAAATTATCAACTTTAGAAACCAAAATTCCTTCTGTGTTCATTAAATATACATCAGTTTCTCCTCCTGGGCCTTTTATAACCATGTCTCTGGTGAGTTAGGGTTAGTCCTGCTCTCTGCAGAGGAAATGTGCTACAGGACACACACCACGTGAAGGAACAGCGCACATTGTGTTCAATGTTTCCTGATTAATGAAACCAATTACTCTGCGTGTTGAATTTTTTATGTCAACCATTGAAAAGGGTTTAAATGTACAGAATAACACCACAAATCTCAACAGAGGAAATTTTCCTAGAATACAGTCAATACTGTGTCTGAATGCAACTCTGAATTCTTCAGACAACACCCACAGAGAGAGAGAGGGAAGTCTAAACGAATGTAGAAAAGAGACAGAGGAGTTACATGAGTTCATTATAAGTCAGCTGAAAGTAACCCAAACTTCTGAATAAGATAGATGGGATGGAAATACCGCCCACATGTATGAAAAGTAGAGAGAGAAAAGAGAACAGTCTGACATAAGCCTTTTATCCATAATACACAATCTCATTTTCAGCGAAGTCAGTGACCGAGAAACACACACTGTGAACACACTGCAGGGCTTCTTTGTATGTATGTATGTGTGTGTGTGGGTGTAAGTGTGTTTGTGTGATATCACAAAGGCGAAGAGTAAAGCGACTGGTGATGGAAGGTCATCTCTCTGCGCTTTACAGGGTTTTGTCAGTGCAAATGTTTGTCTCTGTGCTGTTGATGATCCCCTAAATTTAAATATCAAGAATTTACTGCATTAAATACTAAAATACTCCTGGTATTCAACAAGGCTTTCAAAGAATTTCCTTTAGTTTTTATCATCAGCCAGACATCTGATGTTGTTCTGAATTTAATTCCATTAAAGTGCCTGTGAGGAACTTTCAGTTTGTGTTGATTTTGGCGCCCCATGTGGCCAAAGAAGGACCCCTAATCACTAAGATGATTGTGTACTACACAAATTTAGCTAACAGAAACACTCATCCTGCTTCCTGGTAACATTTTAACGCCTTATACATTAACTGAACTTCCCTTTATTTTTTGCCCAAGTGAAGCACAGAAATTGTTGAGGTTAAGAAAAAAATCAAACTGTTGGTTAAAATCAACACTGTCTTTTTGTTTCACACAGGACTCTCTGGGCTCCAATGATCGAGTCATACATGTCTGAATCACCCATTGCTTCTGACTGCCAATCCAAGTGGACTTCCTCAGTCATTGTGTTTCATCAGCTCCTTTCTGGTAAGAACTAAAACTTTTCGAGCAATTTTGCCGATTACTGGAATTGTAGTGAATTTGTTTATAGGCTTTGACCGCTAAAATGCCTGTGAGCTCATTGCTTAAAGAACTTGCTGAGGTGGTCTGGGATTCATTTAATCACACACATTGTGTTTTGTAAATGCAACTGCTTTGGGTTACGTTATTATAAACACAAGACATGATGACTGTTTATATTGCATTAGACACCACCCTGCAAAGAGGCCTTGTGTCTCAGTTATGTTTTGTGTTGAACTGACTAAATCAAGTGTAAATATATCCAGACTATCATTACTGTGAAAGCTGTAGGTGCAACTTTGAGCTTTATTTCCTGAGTCCCAAAAAGCATCGATGTTTTAATGTTTTCTTTTCAAAGAAATATATTGATAGTATCAGAACATATCCAATGCAGGATAATTTTCAGTGATATTTTATCAAGATGAAGTGTGATAAACAAATAGTTAAGGAGCATATTAAAATCCTTTCACACTGGGACCGTTTTTTCTTGTGCGATTATTTAGGACGTCTGAATATTTCATAATTTCGCGTTCTATATTCGTATCAGCCCCGGTGTGTAAGGACCTTTAGGTTTAAATTACAGTTTTCATTAGGGATGGTCCAGATCCATAATGGGACTGGGGATGGAAATTGGCTTTACATGCATATTGTCCTATTAAAAAAAAAAAACAAAAAAAAACTAAATCCTAAACAACTAGTTATTTAAGAGCAAACAAACTAAACTGCAAGTGGAGACACACGCAGAAACCAGTAAAATGAAGTTAGACACAGCTTACATACAACTTGATATCCATTTTGTAGATCCAAAATACAGACAAAGCACACTATTTATATGCTGCTCTACAAAGTGGGATTGTCATCTTTGCTTGTTTATATCAGAATAATGGCTTTATGGCAGTAGCTCTAGATACAAGCAGGTGATTTCGCGACTGCTTAGACACAGACGTCTCAATCCTACCTGTTCTGAAACTATCCCATGTCTGCTACATGATTCTCTGGGATTCAAATTCAGTTTTTTTTAATCAGTAGATAGGTAACGCAATTTTATCTGAACATGACAACTGCTGTCCAGGTGAAATGTAAACGTGAAGGAGAAGGCATTGTGTGTTTTTATTAATTAATTTTGAACACCATGCAGTGTGATAATCGTAAATACTCTTGTTGGCGTGGCGCTCTAATTAAACTTCATTTAGGATCCCTATTCATAACTCTCTTCCACTCGAATGAGCGCTTAAAACATTTAGTGGCTCTTTTGCACTCAATGCTACATATCTCCCTGTAATAACGTAAACATGCCTGAGGTCTGAATTCAACAACGATCAATCTGCAATCAATAAACCATGCCTCAGACCTTTATTTGCCAGTAA